AATGCAGTCCCCCCCTCCCCCCCTCTTGCACTAATATGTTCTGCCTCTTACAGCACTGGCCTGCAAGGACAGCAGATTCATGGATGTAGCCTATGTGTTTATTCTAGTGTAAATACCATCTGGTGACAAATTAACAGCAACACTAATTACTTATACACGCTTTCCAGTGATGTAGAACTGGTGCCCAAACTTGAACCGAGAAAGAAATGGCTGGGCTTAAAGTCAGAACCAGAGAGCATGCTGGGTATTTGAAGGACGCCTGCTATAAATTTACTGATCAGGTGCAGACAGAGTCCTTTGTTTCTTTGTGCCATGATTAGGAAAAATCCCAAAGGTGATCACTCAGAACATGCCTGTGTCTCTTCTCTGTGGACAAACAGACCCAAACCACACCAGCACGGTGTCCCCAAAGGTCCTGTAGTTTCTTTAAATTTCTTCACCTGTCGTGTAGCTGGCCTTCCTTCTGGGCTCAACAGGTAATCTCAATACATCCTGTTACACAACCTAAGATGGCTGATGCCGCTGCGCTGCTTTCTGTAACGCTAATAATGACACTGCGTGTGAAATTGCCAGTTTGCAATCGGCACCAATGTTTTTGCTCCTGCTCTGTGCAGTGACGTTTTGTTGTATCGAATGTTCAACTTTATCACCAAAGAGTCCTCTCTGTTCTAATTATTATTTATGAAACATGGGAACACTTACACCTGGCTTTTCATTGAGCTGTTCAGGAGGGCTTGAAAATAAATATTATTGCCTTGGAAACACTGTAAAGGTTCCGAGTAAGGTTAATGACTGTGCTAAGTTATTTTTGTTTGGCTTTGCCTTTCTTAAAGGCCCCTCACAGTAGGATTACACAGTTGCAGTAGTGTTGGCGCTTGTTTAAAAATACAGATAAACTACTGCAACATAGACCAGACTTCCTTTCTTGTCTGTTTCACTACCAGCCTCCACTAGTCATCTTTTGGCAGGGCGGCACAGTGTAAAAAAAAGGAAAAAGTTTTCACCTTGTACACAAATGAGCACACAAAGTCGATGAAACCACACTGCATCTTGGGGAGCTGCTCGGCACAGTTTCTGTCCATCATGGGCTGAGAGAGACAAGAGGAAGAGTTTTCAGGTGAAAGAGGGTCAAACAGTTGCTCTGTAATGCTTAAAAAAAAAACGTGAACGGACAAGAAGAAAGCCACAGGAGGGGGTGCGGCTCTTACAATTGGTTGCTGGTCCAAAACAGTTTTCTCCAAATCGCCCTGTTCCCAGAACTCAGCAGCCACCATCAGAGCCACCTGCAGACAAAACAGGGCAACAAACAAAACAAAGCGTGATGCAGGGAAATCAAAGGCACGCAGTGGCGGAAGTACAGCATGAGCGCCGCCGAGTTATTTTCAGTACTCTTCAAACTACACATGGGATTTCACCGGATCAGGTCAGGATGTCTTCTGGCAGCTATAAATATGGAACTTTTTTACTGATATCAAACAGAATAACACAAATAGCTCATTTCTTCCCGTACTAGTTTGAGTTTTTATTTTCTTGTGAACTTCCCCTGATATTTTGAAATCAGGCCTTGTCAGCGCTGTAAAGGTCACCCACCTTGCTCTGTACCTCCCAGGGCTTGGTGATGGCTGACAAGTCACAACCTGTCATCATCATGGCCCTGAAGGTGTGAGACAAACACACAGTCAGAGGGACAAAGAAAAAAAAACAGGACATGCAACACGCTGATGATTTGCCATGGCCTGCTGTCTGAGAAATCTCCTCATCTTTCTAAAGTCAACTGGACAGACTTTTCTCAGCACGTTAAATCAGTTTACATACATGATGATTTCCTTCCTGATGGGGTTGTTGGAAACAAAAGCCGTGGCCTCTTTTTCGTCTGCCATTGGCTCCGTGGCATTCACGATGTTTTGGAACATGGTTCTCTTTCTGTGTGAAGAGAAACGGGTCACGTCAACTGGGCTGCTTTTTTACAGCTTTTGCGATCGCGTCTTTGACTAGCCGTTCTTTTACGTCTTGCATTAACTGTGGCTGCAAAACGGCCGATCTGCAGCAAACCTACTTGAAGTAAAGCGCCAGATCTGTGGCGATGATGCAGACGTCGAACAAGTGCTGCACATTCTCAAACTGACGCTTCTGGAGGTTGCAGAAGATGTTCAAGCTCTGCGGGAGATCATGAATAGTGATCAAACGCGTGTGTTTTTCCTTTTTAAATATCACAACTGAAATTACTGGACAAGAAAAAAATGTCGTACCTCCTCCCCCATTAGAGTCTTGCTGTACTCCAAATGGTGTCTCTCCATGATGGAGGAGCCATGAAGTCTGGCCAGAGGAGCTGCACTCCTACAGGGGGAAAAAGAGACAGTTTAGACACAGGTCCATATATTGCCGAACACGTTCATAAAAGAGTTGGTTTGACTTGCTTTGTCTGGTAGAGGTTGTTGGTTCCTCTGTGGTCGATATCATGGCAGAAAGCAGCGGCCACCATGGCAAAGGCATCGAGATCAGTGTAGTATTTCCTTAGCTTTCCTGTCTGTAGTAGAAGAAAGAGTCAAATAAGAGCTTAGAAAAGTTTAAAAGGCTTGTGCTTAATCTATGTAGCAAGAACTGGATGTTGTGCAGGCCTTACCTGCAGCAGGCAGAACATAGTGTGGCCTACGTTGAAACCGTGCCTCCAGTTGTGGTAGGTAATGGAACGATAACCCTTCCTCACGGTGTACATCCACCTGGTCAGCGTCTGAGGGGGAAAGGGAGGGTTCGGATTTAAAAACAAAGCAAAAAGGAGAGGAAATTGTATAGGTGGTGCACTTTCTTTCTATGCCTAAGGAAAGCAACTCTTGCCCTACAACACTACAGAGAATCCCTCATATTTGTAACTGCAGTACAGCATGGCACGCTTCGACAGTCTAATTAAGGATCGCATCCACTTCTTTGTTCCCAGAGCCATGGCAGCATGCCTGTTGCCAAAAAAGATTCACAGATGATGCCACGAACATTCTGTGTCCCCAAGGCTCGTCTCTTCTCTCATTATTAATAAAATAGCAGCAGTTTTAAGTTCCAAAGGATTTGGAACATGATGATCATCTTTATATTTGCATCAGAACTTTGCTTTGGGAGCATTTAAGGACAAAAACGCCACGTTGAGAAATGATAAAAGAACCGGGAGAGCAGTTCGAGCGCGTCTTGTTTGAACAGGTTTATCAAAGCAAGCGTCTGATTATACGACTCACTTCTGCGGGAACTTTAAACTTCTCGACGACTCCGAGTTCGAAGAACATGCGAATGCCGGCTTTGATGAGGTCGAACTCGGTCACGGGGAAGTCGCTGAAGGAGAACAGGTACAGATTCTCGCCGTTGACGTTGTCTGCCACCGGGATGTTTGACCTCTGAACAGAAACACACGACATGCGTGGATTATTCCCTGAAATGCTTACAGTGTCTTTCTTGTGGACCAACTTTATTTTGGTTCAAACTAAATGAAACGATTGACTGATGAGCAGCTCACCAACAGTTTGTACATGTCTTTCTGTTCGCAGTCTTCAGGATCGGCATCAAACTTCTCCTTGGTGTTCTGGTTGTAAACGAGAAAACAATCATTTCAGCTGACATTTACATTGCATGTTATGTTATACTTTCAGAGATTTCAGACAAGTACTCCCAGAAGTACCCTTGTAAACTCTTGTCAAATCTTCTCTTGCCAAGTGGATATATCATCCATTAGACCTCCTATCAGTCCCCTAATAGCTGGTAATGTAGGACTGCTACTCAATAAGCTTTTCACAGTGCATTACCCTTTGACTACTTTAAATTCCTGCTTAAATTGCTTCTCGAACAAATGCTGAGAGGTCAGAGGTAGGTTTCGGGAAAGAAAAAGGCAAGGTGATGCTAACCAGAATGGACTGCAGCTCATCCGTGGTACATCTGGTCTGGTACATGAGCATCTCCTGGGCGATATCCTTCCTCCACTCCATACGGTTCAGCTTGTCATAGGTGTCACAGTTCAGCACTGACCAGCCGAGGAACTGTGTCAGGGCCTGGTGCAAACAACGAGATCAATAAAGCATGAGAAAACAGAAGCAGGATCTACTGAGCTGTGACCCCGCATAACCCTGATTTACATCAAACTCCTGTAAAAACACTTTCCCTCATGTAATATATGCGTAGTAATACAGCCAGCATGCAAATTCATGCAGTTTTCTGCTACAGCGGAGTGCTAAAGATTTACACACAAACAACAACATGACATTGTGTGTGAGGGTCACAGCGAGAGTGAGAGAGGACGCCAACCTCAGTGATCTGTTCGTCATGTTCATCGAACGGTTTGCCGTCTTTCCTGTTGAAGAACGTGGCGATGCCCACGATTTCTTCCTTCTTGTTGACGATGGGCAGCGACAGGACGTTTTTGATGACAAACCCCGTCTCGTCCACAGCCTCTTTCTGAAAGACACGGCGATGTGTTTTATACGTTTTATGTTTTTGCGTTAATGTGCATTAACCATCCAAGCACAAAGAGAGGAAAAAGTCTCGCACCTGGAAAGTGAAGTAGTCATCTGCAGCCACATTCATCATGTTGCAAATCTGCAAGCAGTCACAAAAATTTTTTTTCACATGTATCGACAGTTTTAATCAATCTATCTTTGATTGTTGCATGTGGCCTTAAAAGTTTGCAGATTGTATTCCACATAAATGCACCGGTTATATGCACAACTGGTTTTTAATCAGACCGCATCAGTTGTTGATGGGTACACAAGTTACTTTCATTCTTTGCTCGTTTTGGTAATTCAGCTAAAAAGAAAATGTACTTACAAAGCCATTCTCTGCCACATAGGTTGGTAGGCCGCTAACCAAAGCCCAGTGATCGGCTGGGGGACCACTGCAAAAAAGAGCACACACAGCAAGGTGAATTTGAGTGAGACGCATATTAAAGAGTGGGCGCTCTTTCAAAGCAGACTTACTTATATACACCTTCTTGTTAGTCTCCAAATAACATTCATCAGGACCACCCCCCCCCCAGAATTACTTCTGACCTAAATAGAAGATGAATGTTGTGGGCAAGCGTGACTGCTTCATCTATTTTAAAATGTACTGACTGCCTGCAATTTTGACCATTTTGTACATGGACTAGCTAGGACTTTTATTTTGAAAAATATAGCCTCTCAAATTTATAATGTTCTCAATTACAAGTCAAGGACACATACTTGCAAAAAAATTATTTGCCCCCATAAACATGAGGTAATAATTTTGAGTAAAATGCAACTGAAATATAAAAATAAAATGTTTATTTCTTAAAATAATTCATTCTTGTGGTAAACTGAATCACGTAAGTTTTATTTGACCAGATTCCAGTCGATTTAAAGTTGTAGTTTGCACTTTTGTAACACAATTACCAGGAAAATTCACATGTAATCAAATTGTTTATTAAAGTAATTGTACTCAATTTAATTAGTAGTTTGACTTGTTGTTAAATTACTAATTAAATTACAAATGAATATCATGATCCTAAAGCACTGCTGTGCCAAGACGAGCTCTATAAACTCTCTATAGGCTGTAGTGATGCCAGAGCTGATAGGTGGGAAGGAGAAGAAGTAATAAAGAGCAGAAAATTACTTACTTAAAGTCAGCGTTTTTGGGAAGTGCACTTTGGTCTGCTTTTATGTTGTATATTGAAATGAAATGTTTGAGTGCATTTGTATGTAGCCAGTGTTGCTCACGGTATGACTTTGATTTCTTCTTTGCCTTCCAGGAGGTAGTCAATGATCTTGTAAAAGTTGACTTCCTGTACAAAAAGCAAACCTGATGATCTTTGCAAAAAAATGTAATTAGGTAAAAATGCCACATGGAAAAAGAGAGCTGATTTAATGACGATATAAATGAACGTCTTACCCTGCCGTCTGGTGTTTTGGGTCCTTTATAAGGTTCCACATCTCCAAGTTTCACCGGCCATTCATCATAAAATTCCTGGAGGAAAATAAAACCCAGGAAATGACTGCATCGGGTTATTTATGTGTGCAGCTGCCCAACTGCATAACTGAATCAATTCTGCAAAACCAACCTTCTCTTTGGTCATGTCCAACAGAGCCACTGAGTATCTTTCGCATTGTAGATAGGTCCTTACGGTGTAGAGTGCTTTGTGGAACTGTCTCTCAATGTCTGTCAACTCCTCAAACACTTTACTGGCTGACCAGAGCAGCACCTAAAGTTAGAAGTAAAAACATGAATGCAGGAAAGCATCTGGGGGAAATGCTTATTTTTGTTTTTTCTTTAAATACAGATTTTAAAGGAGACAAAATCATCAGTGATTTTAGACTGAACACATGGCACAGTTGGGTTTACCTGACTTCTCCTGGATTCCACATTCCACATGTAGGCTGTGTAGTGCTGCAGGGCGATGACTTGAGCAAAGTTCATGTACTTGTGGAAGAGCTAAGGACCAAATCAGATTAGACAGCAGGTTCAATGCTGTGACACATGAGAACCTTTACTGCTACAGCGCAACGTCGCAACACGATTTGGCGTATAACGGTAACTGTGTAGGAATAATATGATAGAAAGCAGGTGAAATCTCATTTCACTCTGATCCTAAGTGGGTGTGTTTTTTTTCTTAAACGCTGGAAATTACATTTGTAAGGTGTAAGATTTTAATCTTAAGAGTTAAAGGCTTTGCCCTGCACATCAACCAATTCTCTCTTTCTGAAAATCATCACTGTTACCAGACGCTATCGCCAGACTCCCAAGAGTCTGTAAAAAAAAACACAATTTCCTTCTGACCCAGTTTAATCTTTCAGTAATTGTACCTCATTGTGAGCATATGGCTTCAGAGGCAGTAGTGAATGGTCTCTGATGCAGACTACAGAGATAACAGAATCATACTTAAATCTTTATGCCTTACTTAAACGTTAGTGCTCGAAAGTAATCGCACCGAGTCACTCAGGTCTGATTGGCTCCCACTGACATAATTGAAGTGTTTTGCACCCCACTGGTAAGATGTAATTATGCCAATAACCTTTATTTAGCTGCACAGTTCAAACGGCTTGAGCGCAGGGTTTTGACAGTAAAAGAAGAGCAACTATGCATGTGTTTAACACAATTACTGCCAAATAAGATGCAGTTTAGACGTTAAGACAAAGAGGGCGTAATAATCGTTTGATGACACTCTAATACCGTTATGTAATGCCACACGCTGAAAGCCATTAGGGATAAACCCATATATATGTATATATATATATACACACTTAAGCTTGTATCCTTACCGCCTCATCTTCTGGAGTGAAATGCTCTGCTCCTATTTTGTTTAGCGCCATAACGACTCCAAGGCACTCTTTTTCAGCCATCAGAGGGAAGGTCATCATGCTTTTGGTCTTGTATCCAGTCTGTTTGTCCACAAAGTCAGAGAACTTTGGATTCTGAGGGGAGAGAAAAAGCAAATAACTTACAGCAGGTCTTATTAAACCAAACTATTTATTTGAAACTACAAAGGCCATGAAATTTTCATATGTTCATCAACTACCAGAACCTTTAATTTTCAAACAGTCAGAAGACAAAGACAATCAATGCTGCAGGCACATTTTTGCAGTAGATGCAGATGCATGGCAAATAATTCTGATATTTACCTGGTTTAGAAAAAACATGGCAGATGTGAAAAATATGTTTCCTCCTTGTTATTAGCTTATTTCGGTATTTACTATACCAGGACCCTTATTAAATATAAATAATACAGGGAAGATGAATATAAATGTAGGAAATAGATACAAACTATGATATTGCCTCTTTTATATAGTAGCTGATTTCTGTATGAAAGCCTTTATTTAAAAAAAAGAAAAAAAATATTTAGTCATTATTATTATTATTTATTTATTTTTAACCTAGATTATTACTTTTTCTTTGAGTTTGTTTTGTTTATTTGTTTTATCACAAAGCTTCACAACTCCTCACCTTTGACACATCAGGAACATTCTGCGTTTTTTTGGAGGTGGCGGTAAAACCGACAATACCCATCTCCAGAGGAAACACGATTTCGGTCTGCGGATCGACAAGGTTAGCCTGATACTTGGAGGTCGGAGTCACGTCAAAGAGGTAGGTGGCGAGCTCAAGTGTTCCGTTTCTGCCTCGACACGCGTAGTAACTGAGCCTGTCAGCCTGTATGATGAGGGCCACTCTCTGCAGCACTTTGTGGAGGCCCTGCTCCATGTTCTCCGGCTTCTGCAGCTCCTTGACGAGCTCGAAAATGATGGCGGCTTCTTGCACGGCGTTAACATCCTTGAACGAAGCGGTGTCTTTGATGTCCACGTCGGCCGAAAAGGCGGCGGTGAGAGCTTCAGCGCGCAGCTTCTTATCAAAGTAGTCTTTTGCAAACTGCGGGTTGTTTTCCAGATATTTTTCCACACTATCCTTGTCTGCCATTTTTTCTTTCTTTTTTTATGCCACAGTCCCCCCCCTTTTTTGTTTTTGTTTCTTTTAAAAAAGCATCACCTGCAGGGAAAAAAGTGCCAAGCTGGAGGGTAGGAGCTGTGCCGGGGCCTGCAGGGGTGGATGGATCAATAGTGTCCGTTTGAGCCTCTGTGCATCCTCCTCCGCGGTCCCCAAAGGGAGTAACGCATCTCGTGGAAACCGACAAACAGAACAGGGCAGAGTGCGGCTAAGAGGCTGAAAGGATCAAAGTGGCGCTAATTAACGTGACGTCATGACATTAAACCTCCTGCTTTAAGCGTCCTTAGGCCGCAAATCCCAGCGCTGATCATTTTATATCGGGCAATCCTTGCTATGTGAAGCTGGAGGGAGGAGAAACAGATTGTTGTCAGGTCAGATGTCAGGCTGGGCATGGTGGAGAGGTAAAGAATAACAAAAGGGAGCTGTCACTGAAGAAACAGGGTGTCAGGCATTTTGGCGAGAAACTAAAGTCCACAGACCTTAGTTACCTTTAGGACAGGAAATAGCAACACAGGTGTTACCAATAATGCTAATTTATCCCCTGCGGTTCAATAGGACAGAAGCTTCATTAACGTCTTAGTAAGATGCTGTTATCTGTATTTATCTGATTCGGTTAAAAATAGCTGCCATGGAGTTGGCTGCATCCCTGCAGTTGTAGGGGAACTAAAAATTTGCCCCGAAAAAAAGTGGGGTTTTTTGCCCTAATATTCATTTCTAGCTGTATATAAGAGTCACATCAGTGTGGATCCATTGTCTAGTGGTTTACACATTCAGCAAACAGGTGAAAGGTTGCTGGTTTGATTCCAGTCTGAGACACAAATCCCCTGTGGGGTTGTGTCAGGAAGGGCATCCGGCGTCCAACTCTGCCAAAACAAAACATGCGGAGCTGCATGCTGTGGTGACCCCGTGTGACAACGAGCAGCTGAAAGTAGCTTTCTACGAGATACACAGCAGTACTCTATCACTTCCTCTACCAACCTACAGGCAAGCCATTCCCAAATTCAGTTTTATTTATACAGCACCAAATTACTACAACCGTCTCACCTCAAGGTGCTTTAAGATATAGAACCTATGATGATACAGAGACAACAAAAAAGTCAGATCAAGTCACGTCAAGAATGCTGTGGCCCAATCAAAAACCACAAACACTCAATCTTAAATCTTCACTCTAATCAAAATACAAGACAAAGTGATGTTTTACCTTGAAAATATTATTTAATAAGCATAAACAACACAGACTGTTGGCTATAAATTACTGGCTAGTGCTACCCAGTATTAATGTTGATATCAATGCAACACCAAGCAAATGCAGAGCCAGTATTGCTGATATCAATACTGATAGTAAAACCTTTAACTTCAAAAGGCAGCTTATGTAACTGTGTTATGATTTATTACATGAATCATCAGCAGTTTGCACATTTTGAACACATTTTAAATGACCATCAAATCAATGTGACTTTTACTTTCCACAACAATTAGTTAACACAACAAAACAGCTTTTTTGGTGCTTATTATATTTTGAAACTATATTTTTTGGTTTTGTCTCTTAAGCACTTTGGGTCATTTTTCATAGTGAGTGTTTGAGGTATATTATTGTAATTTCCAAACAAAATAATTAATTTAACACAATTCAGTGGCCTACATCCTGAAATAATAGGATAGACACTGGTATCCTATTATAATGATTGATACTATTGTGCTAGTATCACTAATACCAATACCTGCATCGGTATTGATACTATCAATATTTAAATAGATCTGCCCAGCTATACTACCCAGTCAGAGCAAAGTGCTAAGGCCAATGCATGAACCACTCACCACTGGGACACAAACTCCAATAAATCTAGGTCAGAGTAATGAGTAATATCAAAAACTAAACATCTCCAATTACCAGTTTGAATTCACTTTTTATATAAATAAATACATTTATGTAAATATGTAACGGTGCATACTGAGTAAGCAGTTTTGAACTAAATTTATGTTTTTCCTGCAGTCCACCAGGGGGCCCCGGCCCACGCTTTGGGAATCCCTGCTACAGGCTAATGTTCAGTCAATGTTAACTGTAGTTATGAATTAAATTGAGGGCTTTCCTAGCGAGCCAACCTTGCTTTAGGTTTGTCACTGTTGTGCTATTGTGGTTGCTGCTACAGTGGAGGAAGTAGTTTGCTTAAATAGCATCAGTCTCTGGCAGCGATTGTGTCCCTGGCCATAATCGTCTATTTAAAGCTCACAGTGTGTGGCAGCCTACCTGCGCTCTAATGAAACCTTCATGGAGGCATCAGTGCTGGAACTGGAAATTGGCCAATTAGCTGAACTTGGATAGGTACAAAACAACCATGGCTGGCTATTATTAACCGAACGCCACTGTCTGGTTAGCTGCTGGCAGGTCTTTGAGAAAAGGAGTGTCCCATTTTTTTTTCCTACTTATTTATTTATTTATTTTTTCTGCTGTAAGGATTAAGGAGGCAAGCCTATCAAAAGTGAGAACTACAAAAGGTGTGTGTGTGGGCGTGCGGATTTAGCAGGGTTTGTGGAAATAAATTAGACTAGTCAATTTCACAGCGGGAGGAGGTGGTTGGCTTTTAGTGTGTGGAGGAGGAAGGACAGGTAGATAGACAATCAGCTATCAGATGGGTATTTTCTTGGTTGTGCATTCATATGTGTTTTCTACAAATATATAAAAAACATTTTATTATATTTTGTGTGTTTTGAGTACTTTTCAGGATATGACACTATGGACAAAAGGACCAGTTATTTTGATCTCTCTACAATTCCATTCATTCAGTAGTAGTTCAGTAGCTGAACATTTGATACCAACATAATTCAGGTCCTGTCGGAATGTATTTGCACATTTGTTAGACGAAGCACTGTGAGATCAAACATGTCCAAACGCAAATTTTCCAACCATTACACTTTATCTGCCCACCAGCACGGACGGAAAGCAGCTAGCTAGTACAGGCCTCAGGTGCATAAGCATTATTAGGAATTGTTTCTTCCTGGATACAAAGACACCACATTTCTCAGTCTAATATACTTTTTTTTTTTTTCAAATATGCCCTCATTTTATTCATTATCCTTTCTTTTATTTCCTTTTTTGTAAGATTTTTTTTTACCTTTGATTAATAAGCACACGCTACTCAGGTGTTTGTTTGTTTGTTTGTTACTTTTACATGATCCATCCATACTAGCAAACAGAAGGAGATGTTTTTATGTGCAGTGCATGCTACTGTAACAAATCTTTTTGATCTTTCTGATCATTGACAGCGGATTATCATTTAAGCACATTTTTATCTATTAAAGCCATCCATCTTTTTATTCAGTTCAGGTTTGCATTTTGGCTGGAGCCTATCCCAGATGTCATAGGGCGAAAGGTGGTGTACACCTTTGACAAGTTGCCCAGCTATCATAAGGGCTAACACAGAGAGACAGAAAAGCATTCGCACCTACAGCTAATTTATAATCACCAATTAACCCAACAGCATGTTTTGGACTGTGGGAGGAAGCTGGAGAACCTGGAGAGAACCCACACAGGTACAGAGAGAACAAGCAAATGCCACACAGAAAGACCACCTGGCAGCTCAATGGATTCAAATCCAGGATCTTCTCAATGTTCTTCATCCATTGGTGCTAACCATGCCCTCTATTAAACATAAACCTATATGTAGAAAAGGATCGGCCATGGCGAATTATGCACACACCAGGCAGCTCAGCTGTCACACATGAAGTCACACTGTCAAAGTTAAATCAGTTTTGATTAACACCAGGTATCTTCAGGAGTCCTGAATTTGTCACAGCTTTTATTTTATTATTAGCTCATCTAGCCAAAGGACCCATGAGCTTGTGGAATCCATTGTGTGTCAAGAGAACGAAACAGTATTAGTTTGAATTTAATCAAAATTACATACAAGGATCATATACAGAGTCTTCAGCCAAATTGTGCCCAAAGTCCAGGTCATATTATTATTTTACAGACACATTTTCACTCCTCAGACTATTGGCTTTGTATGTTTATATGTGTCTATGTGCTATCTCCATACAATCTGGGGCACGGTTAACATTAGATTCTTGATGTTAATAAAATGTGGATACCATAACTGCATATCGTGATCATGGAGTGTTTTTACCACCACTTCTAGAGACCCTAATGATATCACACATAGATGATATTCTTAATGTAACACTAACTATTAGCTTTTGTTAATGTCCACATATGGTAACATTACCAATAACAAATAAATCATGAACAGAATTTGTAGCAAAATCAGAATGATTTTATAAATAATGCAGACAGCCGATTTGTGTTGATAATTATTCATTCATTGTTTGACATCATTGTGTTTTTGGACCTTAAGCTTCACAGATGTGAACTTGTTTTACCTTGGTTACACAATGTGTCCTCTCCCCCCAACCCCCACGTGCACTATCCTTTATATGTCCCAAAAGGTTGATTATGTACATCTGGCCGTAGTGTTTTCAGTGGGAGAAATGTTTCGTCACTCAAGGTTCAAGGTTCTTTATTTGTCACATGTATAGTTATACAAGTATAACACACAGTGAAATGTAACCTGACAAGCTCCTCGACATGTGCAAATATTGGGGGGGGGTAGAGGAAGAACATACTATATATATATAGTATATACATTAGGTGGATGTGCAGTAGTAGCAGCAAGGTGAATTCTGTACATATGTAGAGGAATAGAATAATAACAGAAAAGACAACAATTAAAAAAAAGATACTATAAAATAATTATGAATGCCAGTAATTGGAACATAAGAAAGTTGTAAGCATTTTGCTAAATAGGTCGATTAATGATTAAAAACCACTGCACTTAATGGATCCTTGTGAATGATTGACCTATTTGGATAAGATGAGATGAGACGAGATTTGCAAATTGCTCTCCTAATCATTTAATCGTGATCCAATCTGTACAATGTATATCCAATACATCTTGACATTGTCAGTCCTACATTTTGGCCCTTAAGGGCACAGGTAGGGGTGGAATTTGATTGGATTATGTTACAAAGGGACATACTACTCTACCCAAATTCAATCGGCATGTGTTCAGTGCTTTTGCCCTCTTCAAAGCTCCAAAGTTCAGATGGAGACTGTGGATGTAGCCATGAGGTGTTTTACTCAAGTTCCAATTTTATACAGGGATTTTTACTAACTTACTTTTCCATGAGAAAAAAGAAACTCGCTCTTACTTCAAACACTACATTCCTATTCACCCGCACACAATAAATGTTTAACGCACAGACAAATCTGGCAGTGCAATGTATATAGGTTCTTGGCCAGCGTTCACAATTGTGAAATGTTACAGCACCTCTGGCCAAATTCCAGGAGCTATTATTTCTACTCAAGAGTGATTGCCCTGTTTTTCAGCTGGCCAGCTCTTCGGTTATGTAATCTGCAGATGTTTGGCTTCACTTTTGCTCTTCTTTATTCAGCCGAGCTCTCAGAAGACTGGTTTTACGATCTTAGTGAAAAACAACAGCATCACTGTATTTAAAAGAAAAAGCCCCAGCAGACGAAAAACAGACCTGTCTTAGAGAGTAGAGTAGGTATTTCTTTTTTATGCCAAAGTGTATTTTAACTGGGCAAACCCCTCAAAAAACAGAATAATGCAAGCGTGAAACATTTGGGAAACACAATATTGTTCATGCCTGATAGCGATCGTGCACGATCCACTTGCTTCAGCACAAGAACCGATCAATAAACTTCTTTTGTGTTCAGCTATGATTGACAGCATTAAGCACTCTGGATTTCATCGACATGGATTAATCCCAAGGTTAAAATACAGAAAGATCAGCTTCCATATATGTTGTGCTAACAGTTCCTATCATTATTGACCTCCGTTTGAAACTCCAGACTTTGCTTTTAGAAAAGACGTAATCACCTTTCTTTCGCATTGATTATTTTTTGCCGAGCGTGGACTCTGAGCTCCAGTTACACAAACATGGAGCTGGAAGATGAAAGCAACTGATGCAATAACACAGATGCTGGTCAAAGCGCGTTTTATGATTTCTTTGGCAAATACAGAAAGAGCCCTCCCCCCTCAAAAAAAGAATTTTGTGATTTTTCTTCAAACAAACAACATGGATCTATCCACACAAAAAATATTTCGCTCATTAAAGTCAAGTCTGAGAAAACACAAACTGTTTGTTCTTTGAAAACCTATTCAGGTCTGGTGACAAACTGTTTTCTCGGCGTGTGCAACATGTGTACATATACATGTGGATCCGATCTTCCTGGTTCTACCAGTCATTGCATTGATAAAAATAGGAATCCTTTAGCAATAAGTGAAAAAACAGATGTTGTGGTGGAGATTGGGAGGGGTGGTCCACCAAATGTGCAGAACACACAAATCAATAGGAGTGGGGTCTGCGCTTACGTAAATATTTGTCCAATGGAAGGCAAACTCGCTGTGGGGAAAGCAGGGGCGCTCTGGGGCTCCAGAAGTTATTATGCAATACTGGCCAGCTGTATTTAAGGCCAGTCCAGACGGAAAATCAGAGGATTTCTTTGGAGTCTTTGTGGTATCAAGGTACACACTCACATGGATTGTTTTGAGGGGGGTTTGCTTTTACATTTTCAGTCAAATATTTAAAGATATCTCATTTTTTCTGGTATTGGTTTTATTTTTTAAACACTATTGTAGCCCTGTGGAAGTACTTTTTGGAGTTTCATTACATTCTGCTCGTCTTGAGGACTTGCAGTGCAGTGTGCATGTCTGTATTTCTGTTGTTGTTCTCCATTATGCCTCCTGTTTTTTCTCTAACTGTCTGTGGTCTGTGCCTTCTTTCTCTTCTTCTTTCCTCGGCGGTAGAATGCTTCGGTACGTTGTAGCCCTCTCTCTCCTGGCGCTGTGCTGGGCACAGGACTGCCAGGTAGCCAACATCAACGTCATGCAGAATTTTGACAAAACTAGGGTGAGTTGAAAAATATTAACTATGTTGTTATTTAAAAAAAATGTTTTGCATAATTTCTGAGTAGTACTTTTCCACTGTGATTTTTCTTTAATGTGTTCTTCTACTCGTAGTATGCAGGGACATGGTATGCTGTAGGGAAGAAGGATCCAGAAGGCTTGTTCTTGCTTGACAACATCGTGGCCCAGATAAATATTGAAGAAGATGGTAAAATGACTGCCACCGCCCAGGGCAGAGTCATCATCCTCAAGTAGGCTCTGTTCTGTGGAGGCTTTTGCTTTGAACGTGTGCAATTTGCAATATGCGATTTTTTTTTGTCTCACATTTTTTGTAATGACTTATTCTCTCTGTTTGACCTCTAGCAACTGGGAGATGTGTGCCCACATGTTCGCCACATTCGAGGAGACTGCTGACCCTGCAAAGTTTAAGATGAAGTATTGGGGAGCTGCATCCTACTTGCAGACAGGAAGTAAGTTATGAAGTGAAAAGCACCTTTATCTTTCATGTTGAATCAAATTTTTCTTTGTTCAGACTTTAAAAAGAAATCCTTTCAACAATGAACGACCAGACACTGTAATTGTTACTTGATAGTCACCACCAAGGGGGAATTTTGACCTTAGGCCAACTGATAATATAACATAATTATCAACTGCTGCACTTAATTCGTGACCCTGGACACTGGAAAATGAATAGTGTTTTGTTGAGTTCAATTTTAACGTCAGGGTATGACTATGTATTTACTGTGTTATTAAAGAAAAAGGAGGTTAAGTAATAATTTTAGACATGGGATGCAATTACTAAAACATCAGTATCCACCACTGGATCAAACAGCTGTATTATTAAAGATCTTTACTTTAATGTTTTTTTAAGTGAAAAAAATACATACATACATATATATATATATATATATATATATATATATATTCTGTTTCTGTTATATTATATATATTATATTCTGTTATTTTGGCTTCATACTTTCTTTGTTGTTTTTCTCAGTATGTAAGTTGAAAATTTGTAAATGAATGGTTTTGCAAAAGTAACCTCTCCTCCACACTCTCCATGCTCTTAGATGATGACCACTGGGTTATTGACACTGACTATGACAACTACGCAGTCCACTACTCCTGCAGACTAGTGGACGCTGATGGCACTTGCCTAGATGGGTACTCCTTCATATTCTCTCGTCACTCAACTGGCCTAAGGCCAGAAGACCAGCCAGTTGTCCTCCAGAAGAAGACAGACCTCTGTCTGTTGGGTAAATACAGACGGGTTACACACACCGGTGAGTTGACTATGCTTTGATGCTTTGATCTGTGGCTTTTATCAGTCCATCATTCAATAGGGTAAAAGACCAAGTGAATAATTGACTAAGTTAAAAGGTGAAAATTCTTGTGGTCAGTGTCTGCCCGGCCTATATTGCCAATATTTTCAGATATATAGGAAAATAAAATGCTCAGTACTAATGCATGCAGGAGATAAAGATGTTTAAGCTACCGTATAGTTAATAGTGGCACTTCTCTCCCTTGTGTTGCAGGCTTCTGTGAGAGTGGCACATCTCTTGACCCACAGTGACACTTTGGTGATCTTGGATTGAATCCCACTGCTTAGTCACCTCTTCTGTCTCCATCTCTATTATAAAAAAGCAGAACATTCTTCTTTAAAAATGAACCAAAACTGAACTATGAACAGCCACATTTATATAGCTGCAATCTCAAATTAAAAGGAAAGATGGTTGTTACTGTTCTCTTCCTATATTCCCTCATGAGTGCCATTAAAAAAAAACAATCAGAATGACAGAATTATGCAATCAGCCAATCAGCTCTCTCAATGTGACAAACAATTATCTGTTAACCTGGATTTTTAGCAGTACTGCAGCTCTGGGTAAGAACCACTATGTCTATTATAAAGAAAACACTGGTTCAGTGAACGCACAGTATCTTGTAGTCCTCGAGGAGATATTGTTTTTTAACTATACATACACAGATACACATTAGCTCATGTGCTATATATTTATAGGGTCATAAAAGAGCAGTTAAGTTGTTTCTTCTTCATATGATGTTTGCTTCTTGATCCAGTTTTTGAAATAAAACATTCATACCACTGTGGCTCACTTCATTCTTTATTGCCCTTTAAATATTTATCTACGTTCCTGGATCGCAAATAATGAATTCATGTCGTTGCTTTTGGATTCTGTCAGACAAAACACATCAAAAGTACAGCCAAGTAGAATTTTTTGCTTTTTTAAATCTTTTATAATTGCGCTACAAGAAAACAAAGCAAAAGGGAAAAAACACAATGGTACAAATTAAGCTTCTAGCAATGGCTTCTTACATGTTTGTTAAGCAACTAGCATGGAAAGGTGGGAAAATATATTTATAATTTACACATACTGCACATTCTGATCAGTTTATTTAATATGATTTTTGTGGAAAACAAGAAAATGATGCTACCATCTTGTTTTTTTTTTGTTTTTTTTTAAAAATGGGTACTAATTGCTAAATTAGTAAGCATGGGGTGTGAACTTTTTTTTATGCTTCTGCAAGTAAAGTTGCCATAAAAAGAAATAACACAAGAAACCCTGCTTTAGCTGATAAGCTTTGTGAACACTGTACATGCAAAATAGCAACATGCTAGCTGACATTTGCATAGGTTAAAGTTTGTCTGGAAAACAACTGATCTTGTAGTATAGATTGATATGAACCCCTCCAAAATATCAACAACTAAATAAAAGAAAGAAAAACTAAACAGGGGAGGATGTGCTGGGAAGAGATTTACATCTTTATTGCACATTTTTTGTACAGTACAGTACAGATCATGGCAAAACTACTTTGGTGTACATGATTAAAATAAATCAGGTTTAAAACAAAAAACACAGGTAAACCTGTTGATAAAAGTTGGACTCTTGGATCTTCTATGAGAGCTAGCCCAAATCAAAACAACCACACATAAGATGCACAGCAGTGTTTGTCTCATGTCAACTGGTCACACTGCCAAGGCTGCGAGAATAGACACCTTAACCACTTTTCCTCCTACCGGGAGGACCTTTGGTAATCCCCGCCTTAAATAGTTTAGTACAAGGAATTAACTCATGCAATCTAATTCCAGCTTTAAACGGCCGCAGGCTTGAAAAGTCAAGGTGGAGATGGAAGTGAGCTTCACTTGAACAGGAAAGAATACAGGGACAACCACCCACATGTGACTAGATAAGCTCCCGACTGCTGTACATTTTAAGTCTGGTTCAGTTCAGGCAAATAAAAACTTGGTCATGGTTTGGGATACTTTACACAGCTGTTTACACGTTAAACAAAGAAATGCTTTAGCAATCGCGCAAACATCACTGACATAACCGAAAACACATGGCTAATTAGGTAACATAACACTTTCACATAAAGCCAGGCAAAAAGAAACACGACTACTGCTGCCGATGATGATGGAGGGAAAAGAAGAGGAGTTTAGAAAGTGTGTGTTTAGCTGTTTCATCAGTGGAGTCTATTAGACAGGCTTGTAAACTTTTATGCAAAATAACATAAACAATAGTCCCTTGATAGAAAGAAGGCCATTACAAAAGCAAAACATTGTCTGGTGATACACACTGAAGCAAAATAAAACTAAATCACTGAAAAGAGACAGTAGTTCACCAATTAAAAACAAAAACAAGAATAAATACTGTGATATATACACACACACACACACACACACACACCAAAACAACACTGAATTCACCAAAAGTTTAACAAACAGCAAAATCTAAACAGAGAGGCCCCAGATGTAACTATATGGAGTATTAAAGTTTTTTTAAAAAACTGTAAATAAGGAGATGTTTGATGATTTTCTAATGGCAAGAAGAGCTGGAGTACATGTTCGAGCGATTTGCATGTTAAGAATATCCTGCAAATCCCTTCTATTTAAAAAAACAAAAACAAAAAAAAAAACGTATCTACACAAGCACTCAAGTATCGCACCTGTTTGGATATTGAATGAAAAAAAACAAAACAAAACAAAAAAAACAGAGTAAAAAAGCCAAAATACTGTTATAAAATAAATTTAAAAATCATTTTTAATGGACACCATATACCCCATCATTCTTGGAAAATAATGCACAATATGTCCCATGATTTCTGACATAAATGAATATTTTATACATTTATGTTAAATGATCATTAAAGCGGTATTTCTAACTTTGCGATAAAAGAACAGGATTGAATACAAGTGGTCTCCAGTGACTTTAAGAAATATCTTATACTCTGTTATCAGTGCTATGTTTGTAGAGTCAGTGTCTAAAACTGCCTGTTCGTTGTTTTATTTTACCTAGATTCAAAAACACAAATTTCCTGAATGAATCAGAAATCTTGTAGAGTGATTCTTGTGTTTGTTTTTAGCCCGTTGAGTAAGCAGAGGTCCGGACATGCACACCGAGAATCACTCATCTATGCTGATGTGTTAGCTTACGCAAAGCAGTAATCGATGTGAGTCAGCAGCTCCCTGTGACGACTGGTGGGATAAGGGGCCCGACACTTTGGGCACTCCAGGAAACTCTCGTCCAGGAGGTTGGTGACTTTAGATGGGGATGTAGGGCCAAGAGGGTTTTCAATAGTGAGACGCTCAAACTCGAGGCTATTATACGAGCTGGGCTCTGAAAAGCGAGCATTTGGCTGCTTCTGAAACACAAAACATGACAATACATTCATTTAGCAGAAGCACTGGTGCTTTAATTGGATACAAAAATGGGACTGGAGTCTTGGATGCCAGTGTTCAACAAGAGCTATCACATTTCTTCCCCATTATTAAAGTCTAACACTTACAGCAGATTCCAGCTTTGCAATCTGATCACGGGCCTTGCGAAGCTCCTTCAGCACCTTATGTAACTGGTGCTGCATGCTCTGACGATCAATTTTTTCATTCTCAAAGTCCTTGGCAGAGAGTTGGATCTTAGGAGGGGCAGAAATAAACGGGAAGTAGAGAGCACAAGTGGGAACAGTTTGGATTGCAACACTTAAAAAACACAGCTCAAAACTGTTACAACTCCACATCACATACTACCCAGAAGGGCCGTGCTGACAGAATTTCCACTCATAAGTGGGTGGTGAACATTAAGGTTGTGCAATCAGTAATTACTGATCTCAGTTTTTTTTTGACTTCTCACAGTGACTTCTCTAGTGATTATTTGTTTTAATAAATCCAACACTCAATTACAAAACAAAGATTTCTATCAATAGGAACGATTTGGGTAACATGTAAACGAAGAGTGTTACCTGTTGCTCCAGTGCTGCGATTCTTCTCTGCTCTTCCTTCTGGCTCAGGAGGGACTTCTGCAGCATATTTACCTGTGAAGCACATGATCAAGGCAAGGCAAACACACTTGTATAACACCATTAAAGAGTAACACACATGCTATCATTCAGTTCTTTTCAGATAACCCTGGAGCTGTATTTTATTTAAATATGCTGGTACATCTATCCGATCGTTCAGTCTGATGTCACTAGCCGTGTCTGGGCCTAAACTCCGCTGCAGGTCCATATATCAAACGATCACTATGGCATTACCGAGAGTTGAAAAACTGTCTAAAGTCTTTCATCTTTAATCAAATGATCAGCGTTCTGCTCTACCAGGTGTAACAATTGAGTTTAACATCCAGGCATCCATGAAAACGGAATTTATGACATTTAACGGAGTTAGAAGTTAGCAGGAAGTTAGCTCGCTAGCTTCCATCTAAATACAATATAGCATGTCCTGACTGCGGTGTTTTGGAAACAAATTAAAACGTACAGCTCTGTTATCACTTCCAACATAAATTAAGACAGAAAACTAAACAGCAGTGACGTTTGTAGGGTTACTGAAGTTGGCTAACTGGTATACAGCTATGTTAGCATTAATATAAACAAGCTAACTTTTTTTCCACTCGATAAAAGTTAACGTGAGTGTTCTCGGTGGTCAGGAACAAATGTAATCGCATGGCAGGATGCTGTAAAAGGACCAAACTTCAGCCAGAGAACAACTGAGATAATCCATCCACAATACGAGGTTAGTCATTCATATACTGCTGCATGGGCTGGGCTGTAGTTACATCATAAGGTTTTAAAACTGAGCTTAAATAAATGATTAGCGGTAATAAAAGCCGAGGGAGGTCAACAGTGATCACTGACTGTTTTTAGGAGCTTTTTGAGATTAAATAGAAGAAAATACAAAGCATTAAACATGTTAACAACACAAAAGCCATATTAAACGCAGACTACTTTAGGCCCGGAAGTAGGATTTGTCAAATCATCACTTAATAATCGGATTGTGCTCTTGCACTTTACTTATTAAATATAACTGCTAATGGATGAGGTCTTTCCATTTTATATGCAACCCTATAAATGCAGACTTTTTTATGCATTACAAATGTTTTGAAAGAAAAACTTTGATAAAATAAGTAAATATTACTGAATAGTGACTAAAGGAGACAAGTCACTGAATGGGAATCTCACCTGCAACAGAAGCTCAGCAGATCTCTTCTTCTCCTCCTCCAATCTGATATCCATATTCTCCAGTTCCACCCTCATTCTGTCTGCACGCTCAGACGACACCTTTCTCTCCTCACAGACTGCATGTCTGGATAAATGGTTTATTTATTCCATAAAAGTATCATTAATATTTATATTTGTAGTACTTAGCAGCAGTTAAAGCCATTAACAGTCACTATGTGTGGATTCTTAAGGGCTCTTCAGTGTCACCCTTCTGTATTCAAGAACCTGGGCTTGTAAACGACTTTGCATAAGTTGCAAAGCCAGTTGGAATCGATAAATAAACCAAACAACTGTTTATTCAAAGGAAGTGCCCCATTTAACTTTTAGTTTGGCCACATCCGTTTTAGTTAGGTGCTAGGACTTTCTTTACCTGTTGCTAAGTCGCTCTGCCTGAAGATCCATCTTGGCCTCCTCCAGCTCTTTGCACTTGTCTTCGTGCTTCCTCAGAAAGGACGACAGCTCTCTGCACTTGTCGTCGTACTTCCTCTGCAGTGCCAACATCTCTTCCTGAACCCTGGTGACTTGCTCCCGCTGAGAGTGCAGCTCAGCCTGAGCTTTCAAGGCCTACCAGGTGCGGACAAGGCAAATTGTAGGATATTTTATACATTTCGCCTTCTTCGTTCTTTAAAGGAACGCTTTAGCTCAATTACAAAGACATCTGAATTCAAGAAATGCTCAGTGAAACTAGCCCAGTTACTTTCTTTTAAATAGATGTGAATTTCAGTGAATTTGCACATTGTTTGATAGAGACTGAAATAATTATCAGCATGAGCAGCACAAGCCACAACATGGAGAATATATAAAGAAAGGGGAGCAAGCTGGCAAAGTTGTTAATCAAAATGAGTAAATGGTGATTACATGAAATCTGTTTGGCATTTACCTGCTCCGGATGGACACCGAGCTCCTGTCTGGCTCTGGTAACCTGCTCTTTTTGGCTCTCCAGGTCTTTCTTCATCCCAGACACCAAGTGGTCATATTGGCTTTTCAGCTGAGATTCCTTTTCTGGATCTGCCAAGTTGGCAGGAGCTGAGACAAGAAGTGTTAGTAAGCAAATGAAGAAGCTAATAAAAACATTATCTTTGTGAAAGCTGTATGGAAAGCTCAATCCTGACTGCTACTGGATTTGAACACATTTTTATTCTTACATTATTACCCATTAAATTCTTTTCTAATTCACAGCCTGTTGCTGCATTTTATTTAACTTAAAAAACAAAAAGTACATTCATTTTCCTGGCTTGCCCCCTTCACTTTCCATGCCATATGTGTCTCAAAAAAAGCTGCTTGTTAGGCCAAAAGAAAATTTTCCATTTACTGTATGATTGTTGTGAATAATAAAGGAATAGTGAGCAAAGCCAATTCAGTTCCCCCACACTTCCTACCCTCTGGACTGGCCTCTTGTTTGGTTTGTTGCTGCTTTGCCTGAGCCAGCTGCTGCTCCAGCTCTAAAGTACGGGCCAGGACAGACTGCACATAGGCCTCTCTCTGCTGGTCGTACACCAGCCACTGCTGGTTCTTCTCCAGAGCCTGGTAGGGAGAGTGACACGGCCTACAATGACAAACTGCATCCTATACACTATATGTGAACTTTTCAGCTGGTCAAATTCATGAGCACATCATTCGGCAGCAGGATACACATGATACAGTTACAAATAGGTGAACATCAGCTTGCTGGACTCACATCTTTCAGTTGATCTTGTATCATTACGAGGTCTGAGGCAGGTGGCTGTCCATTCTGAAAAGAGAAAACGTCTTTAGGTTCACTCGAGTTGGCTTTATGTAGCATTAGCATCAACACTTACATCTGATCTAGCCATTATAAAAATGTTAATACTTTCATTAAGAAAAGATTGGGTTTTATTTGTATTAGCAAATCCTAATGATAAAGGTCTATGCAATATGCATGCGAGCTGTGGAGCTGCTGTCTGCACCTGTCCCTTCCTTTTACTATAATTGTTCTGGACATAGCAGAGTCTTAAAGATGAATTTTAAAAAAGGGGCTCAATTCAAGGCAGCCAAAGCTCTCGGAAAATAAAGAGACCCTGTCATTCCTCCAGAAATACAATAACCAAATCACGTGATGATTGTAGCTTGTTTGTCTGTCCATTTGCCAGGAGATCGCACAAAAACCCAAGACAATGAAACTTGGTGGAGAGTTGCAGCGTGCAGAGGAAGGGAAAACAGAAGGATGCACTCTCAGAGCATCCTCTGGTTTTATAGTACTGCAGGTCAGCTGAGTTGTATGTGCTGTATTTGTGTTATTCAGTTTATCCAGCTTCAAGGGCAAATACTCACACACTAAAAACTTCAGGTTATACAATGTTGAGACAACAAAGGTGTAGCGGGTTTAGGTTTTTCCATCTTCTAAATGAGAATGAAAAGAAAAACACTATCGATAGTTATCAGCACAAGCACTGGTTTTAATAGACGATGAGAGACGAGGCTATCAAATCTGGTGCAAATTCTATTCATCGCTAGGGACACAGTCATCTCCCAATTCTGTCACCCTAACTCTGATGCCTACATGGCCGATCCCACCAGCAGATCCTATAAAACCTTCACAGAGATGTTGGAGTATGCATTTAAATGATCATCTCTGTGCTAAAGCTCTGTGAGGAACGTGATGGATTTGAATGTGCAGCCCATAAACTATGCCCACTAACAGCTTTACCAAATTCAAGAAGAAGAGAAATAGGTGGCGTGGTCAGATTATATGTAGTAATGCAAAACCTGCTAAACGAAGCGGAGGGTATTGCTGTAAAAAACGAAAACATAACCTTGAACCTTGAAGTACCAACTACTCCTCCCACATATCAAGTAATTCAAGTATTGCACTGTAAGGCTTTCCAGCCTTGGACTCAAGTTAGACTTGAAACAGTATAAAAACAATCTAAGACCATTTACATTCAACCAGCATTACAACTCTTCTTGCGACCTTCATGAGTAACAAAAAAGGAAAGAAGAAGAAGAAAGAAATAAGAAATCTCTGGGCTTCTTGTAAAAAAAGAAACAGAAAACTACTTTTGATTTTGAGTAATATTTGACCCACAATGGAGAGCAAAGAGATAAAAAAAAATTGTGTGATAGTGCTATTTTGTACATCACTGAATCATGTTTTCTGTGTGTGTGTGTGTCTGTGTGTAACGGATTATGATTAAAACAGCAGGAGTTTGATAAAATATACTGCGGGTGAACTCCATTTAAAACACAAGCTGAATTGATTTTTACATTTGTAGTACTATGAGCAGGGCTTCAGCACCCCCACCTCCAGAAAGGTACTTTTGTCCATAAAGGGAGGTATGACATGACTGAGTCTTCCTCAAGTCCCTACTTGTGATTTTTGCCACCAAAGCCTCTTCAGAAGCCAAGAGGAATCCTGATGGGCAGCAGGACCAGCTGCACTCAAAGCATCAAAGGGCTACATTTAAGAGCCTACAGTGACAAGGGAAGTGGCACCTGCAGATTCACTGAAGGCTCTCACACTGCTGAATATGAATCATTTGATGCTTTAGTCAAAGTGTTATTTGAACAAAGATGCTATTTTGTCTTTCATGACACTATTGTAACGGCTATGATACTACCAGGGGGGTTAATAGTTGGCAAAGAAGACAAAGGGAAAACATTTTCATTATAAGCAATGTGTAATGTGAGACTTTCATTAAAACAAATTAGTAAATCTGCTGCAGATAATGTCAGATGATGAAGAATATAATTGGAGGTCACACAGTGCCACCTAATGGGCAAATAAACAGCTGCACTTGGATTTTCAAACTTCATCTCATGAAGTAGTTATTGAAGAAAAATAAATAAATAAAAGAAGAGAAAACGCTTCTGGTGAAATGTGAAGGAAAAAAAAATGAAAATGAAAGTCTAAGGTGCATCAACCTCAGATCAAAACAAATGCCTTATCATGAGCAAATATTACACTTATACTTTACTTTTAGTCAGCCTCCAGTTGTGTTACACAAGTCAAGCAACAGCTAAAACTGAATTTAATTTGACCAGATTGTTACAAAACAAAAGAAATAGCTCTACTGCATCAGCACTATAGATACAGAAGAAGGGAAAAAATAAATCAGAGGAGGATATTAGAATGGGAGGCAGAGGACAGAAAGCTGTTGCAGGATTTAATCCGAGACCAGGGGGAAAATTTGCTGTCAGAGGAAGGGATATAACTACTCAAGCAACTCTGTTCCTTTGCGATTTCTGACAAAAAGAGGGTGCAACTTTTTCTTCACACTCAAATAAAATGATTTGTGCTAGCCCAGGCGTACTCATAAATGCATGCAGTCACAGTAAAAAGAAAGTGCATGTTGGGTTTTACAAATTAAGACAATTAAAAAAAAGTTCTTGTCAAGTTCTACATTTGTAAAAACCCTCAGATAAAAAAAACAAGATGTGATATATTTACACCGTGTATTTTTTTAACAAAAAGGAAGCCAAAATGTAGAAACACTGTGTGGGAAAAACTGAATAGAACTTGCGATTGAGTAGCTTGTAAAACCACATTTAACAGCAAAAGATTGAAGTAATTGCTTTCTGCATAACTTTATCAGTCTCTTACATCATTGTATCTGAACTTTATGTGATTTCAACACACTGATTCCTTTCTTTTTCAGCTATTCTGTTGCAGATTTGGGACTATTGTTCTTCTGCGTAAGCCAATTTAGGCCAAGCTTTAACTGTCAGACAGATGGTCAATTCGATCACTGCAAAGCGCCCAGGCTCTGTGACTACAAAACAAGCCCAAATCATCACTCCTCTATCACCATGCTTGACAGCTGATACGAGGAGTTTGTGCTAATATGCTGCGTTTGGTTTTCACCAAATGTGGCGCCGTGCATTTGGTCTTGTCCCTTCAAAGTCTTGTTATTTGCTCAGATCTAATTTTGCAAAACTAAATTGTGTGTGTTTTTTAACAGTTTCTCTGAGCATTGCAAAGACTTCCCTTAGGGGACAGTGGTATGCACTTATCAGTGTAATAAAACAAATACCACTGTAGTAATAGATTTTAAAAACAACTAGAGTAGAGTACAGATTAGTAAGGCAACTGGCCGTTTGTAAAAGGAGACGCTGACCCTGGCTAATAAGATCAGAGGTTATAATATCAACCTACCGCCACCTGGGTTTCCAGAGTCTGACATCGGGCAGAAACAGTGACCAGCTTGTTTTTCAGATTCTCCGTCTCCTGTGACAAACTCTGGAACAACGCGTCTCTCTGCTCTGTTTCTTTCCTCCGCTGCTCCAGCTGGGCTTGCAGCGACGCCACCACCTGAAATGCACACAAAACAACACGAAGCAAACAACAACTTGACTAGCCTCCAAAACAACCTGTAGCCAAAACAACACAATTCTCTTTAAGCAGGGATGGTTTGTGTTTTCCAGGCAATTATCCCCTTCACACAACTGACATAGCACAGCTGGCTGGTCCACACAGCAGCTCCAATTTCTTTCTTTCTTTTTTTGGTGCATTTCTTAATGAAGGTTAACAACCGCAAGGCAAATGTGATTAATGTCTGGGTTACATAAAATATTGATATTCTATTTGTCAGAGTGTGTCATTTCCATGTTTCCAGCTAGCCCAAATTAAACTCCAACAAAACGTCAAAAATAGACGAGAGCAAAGTCTACAGCATAGCAGTAACTTGTTTTGAATGTTAATCCACGCAAAAAGACCCACTGCAGACAGATAGCTTATGAGTCAAGTGAACAGCTCATAACACCATGTGTTAGTATGCCGTTTCTGTTAGTCGTCAAAACTTCACTTTGCTGAGCTGCTGTCAAGATGAGATAGAAGCCATTTCCCCCCAACTGTTTTTGTGGCAGCTTACTGGAATTCTAGTACAGTTTTTTTCCTCTCTCTTTTTGACAGTTGTCTGCTGGTAGCAATACATATGCCACCAATACAATGCCACGAATGCAACATATCTTGAAAAGTCAAGTACTCTCAAAGATACAGCTGCAAGTCTATCTTGTCACTCTGAGCAGAAAAGTGTCCAACTATCTGACCACGTTCACAGAGGACTTCTTGATGGATAGAGCTATAAGAGTCGACTGTATATGTGATTTTTAACTGTGTATTTCTGTAGAGAGGTGTTGTGTGTACCTCTCCTCCTTTAGCTGACAGCTGCTGTCTCAGAGTTTCCAGCTCCTGCTCTTTCACCAGCAACTGCTGGTTGTTCCTCTCTCTCAAGGTCTCAAGGGAAAGAATCCTCTGAAACAACCAATATTAGACACACATATATAAAAAAACAAGGAAGTGCTACAGGTGCTTAATGTTACTGAGAAAGCCAAGATTTCCTTTTACCTCCAGCAGCTTGCTTTTGTCCGCATCAGGCGGTTTGATGTGCCGTTTGGTCAGGTCATCAATCTTTTTTCTCAGGTGAACATTTTCTTTCTTGACTTTTTCCAGCTCTGCCTCAGCCTTGGAGCCAGAGCTGCTGGATTTGAAACCCAACTTGGCAACTATGGTCTCTTTGGCACTTTTAGATGTCATGGCTGCTTCTGTTGTTACTTAGTGCAGTGCTCTGGGAAGAAAAGTAAAGTGACTGTGCTGGTGTTGAATCCACCAGAAGGTATGCAGTTTAATTTAAATCAAAGAATTTCGTGCAAGCACTCCAAGTGAAGAGCAGCTCAAAACTCACCCTCAGCTAAGAACACAGCGAAATGAAAAACAGAGACAGAAGTGGAACTGACTATTAAAAATACATTTTACAAAAGCGAGTTGAGTCAAAATCGACACACCCGTCGTACTTTCAATTAACATTTTTTTCAATTTCATTTATTGAAATATTGGAATAGGTTTAATTCCTCACATTTACCTCGCATAGTGCCAAGAAAAGAAAATCCTTTCATGCTAATTAAACATGAGAAAAATAAAATAAAAACATGACAGATGATTACACTACCAATTCTCGTGCGCATGTCAATGGTAGCTAGCAAACACAAATTAACGTAATATTATTTTTTCTGTCGTACATGTAGTGTTGAAAACAAACGTTATAGGCATGCACACTCAACCAAAGAAAATATTTAAATATTTAATACTTACAAAGAGAACACGGAGACGGAAGTTATCCACTAAATATCGTCTGTTTTGTGGCGAGACCGTTTTTAAACGACACTTTCGTTTCCTGAAGTTTGAATTGGAGCGCGTTGACGTCACACCCGTGACGTGCGCCGCGGTGCGCATGCATATGTAGCCTTGGGTATCCCGAATAGTGAAGTGTTGGGCGGTTCAACGGGGGGCAAAAGAATCTCTGTAAAGGTAATTTGAAACGCTATTTGTTTAATGTCGCGCATTTACATACTAGAACCCTCAGAAGTCTAACCAGTTAGGAAGTAGAGTCATTGTTTATTTATTTAGCTTTTAGCCAACGGCTCCACGTTTTGTTAGCCCGGGCTGTCTGCTGCACTTTATGAAACGAACAGACAGATTAGAGCTAGTTTGGCTAGTTGAACCTGCATGTCAGAAACAACAGGCTCTTGCCTTTACAATACACGAAATATTTAAAGGCAATTTTATTGAAAGCTTATGACTTATGATTTCTCAGTGATTGATACTGAAGTAACATCCATCCATCCATTCACTTCCGCTTATCCTTTTCAGGGTCGCGGGGGGTGCTGGAGCCTATCCCAGCTGTCATAGGGCGAGAGGCAGGGTACACCCTGGACAGGTCGCCAGTCTGTCGCAGGGCCAACACACAGGGACAGACAACCATTCACACTCACATTCACTCACACCTCGTGGCAATTTGGATTATCCAATTAACCTATCCCCACAAGCTGCATGTCTTTGGACGGTGGGAGGAAGCCGGAGTACCCGGAGGGAACCCACGCAAACACGGGGAGAACATGCAAACTCCACACAGAAAGGTGGAATTGAACTCAGGACCTTCTTGCTGTGCGGCAACAGTGCTAACCACCGTGCCACCGTGCTGTTACTGAAGTAACATTGGAAATCTATTCGGATCAGATACTGTATATGAACAGTTATCTGAATACATTTTTTTAAAACCTCCACTTCAATGGGTTTAAAATAAATTAGATTTAATTGACAATGAGGAATTTAAAACACTTTCCACTGGGTTTAACTAATGTTGTGGTGTGTGCAATAAAGAGCCATTTTTAAATGTATTATTATTATTAGTGTTATTACTATTATTATTTTGCCTAATAACCATCAGTTAATCTGTGATTAATTTCATTCACAAGGCCTAGTTTGAGGGAATCCATCCATCTTTTTCTGGTTATCCAATTCAGGGTTCCAGGGGGGCTGCAGCCTACACCCGCTGTCATGGGGTGAAAACAGACCTTGGGCAGGTTTTTCTATCGCAGGGATAACACAGAGAGAACTAACTTAGAATGCATGTCTTTAGACTTGGGGAGGAGTACCTGAGGAGAACCCATGCAAGCACAGGCAGGGCATGCACTAGTAGATTCAAACGCTGGACCCTCTTTCTGTGAGGCGATGGTGCTAACCACCACTGCACAACCATGCTTAGCAGCTTAAAGAAATTTTGTGTGCAATTATTCTTGGTCTCAAACTGTGCAAGCTTTCTAATCTTAGTGCATCTTGAAGCATTGCCCTCAGCTTTCCTGAAGCCGTCTTGATTGTAGACTTGAACAGTCATAACTCCTGGTGAGCATTAGACTGGCTAGATATGGTGAAGGCTTTTTCTTTTCCTTACCACAAAAATAATTCCGCAACTATGTATTTTCAGGTTTCTTTCTGTGCTCTTCAAGGCCTTTGTGGTGCTACTGTTCATTTTATATTTGTATTTTTTAACTGTAATGATGCCCTTTAACGTCACTCAGGGCCACACACTGAGAGATCCCGTGAGCAGCTACTAAATGCAAATTCAGCACTTGGAAGAAAAAAATATGCCACTGTACATATCACATATGGAGGCTACATAAATTACTTTATACAATTGCTTAATGTGTTTTCTTAAAAGCAGCAGATGTGAAGACAGGGAAGGAGAACTGAAGCTGGTGTATGTTTTATTTTTTACCTTCAGGCTAATTTTGATTAAATTTAGAGAGTTAATGCTATGCATGAGCTACAGTGAGCCTGTGTTTGAATAATAATACTACATAAAAACAGAGTTCAGTCTTGAGGGTTGTCACTTCTTAGTTTCTACAGAAACATGTAAACACACAGTAACACAACCTTGATGTTTTCACTGGTACTATTTTCAGTGTTTTATCATGTTGTTTTAATTAGTCACTTCTTAGTATGTTTTTGTTGCTGGTATTATATTTTATCCAGCAGGAGCACATGACCCACTGTGTATATTTTTTTCTTTTTATATAACCTTGTTTTAAACAGCAGCGAAAAACAGCGTTCAATATTTCAGCTCATGCCTTCATCAGAGTAAACAAACGTAATGAGGAGTCGGTAAACATGAAATAATCAGCCTTGTCACTCATATCAAGCACCGATTCTTGCAGTCAGTTTCGCACACATGCTTTCTGATTCTTGCTGCATTTCATGTAAGATCAGAAGATTCTGTGAGAATCCAGCAAAATGTGTCCAATAAATTTCCACGATCTCTAAACTCTGTAACTCTTTAACACATATTGCATCAAGCCGATATGTGCACACCGATCACGAGCAAAAATCGGTTTATAAATGCGAATGTAATTATTAAGTCATCCAAAAGGAGTTTGCTTTTCCAAAGCAATGCACCCAGATTGCCAATTTGCATTTGGGAATTTATTGTCAGCCAGGAAAAAAATGTGTGTCTCTGTTCCAGAAAATGTGAAGTTGGGCTCGTTTTCTCTGCACTTTCTGTTCTGAGATCTAAAGTTTTACTTTTTGCCTTGTTTTGTTCTCCCACATACACGATCTACAACCACAGGGGTCTTTAAGCGTATAAATAACTCTAATAGTAGGGCAAGTAATGCACTGCCAACCAAAAACCAGTCCTGAATCGAATCTTTTTTATTCTTTATGCTCAAAATGTTTCTTCAGTGGGTTATTATGGAAATGTGTCGGATCTTTTCAAACAAGATAAATCTAAAAAGCCTTTCAAGGTTTTCTTTGAATTTATTTGAAGTAAAGGGCAAATTCTTCAAAATTCAATATGGATTTGATCGGACAAAGGTGAAAACTTAAATACGCAGAGTATTTGTGCAAGTAAATACACAGCAATGCTTTTATTTGATATACTGCTAGCAGCCAATATTCTCTACACCTTCTTAAGGCTTCACTCTGAAAACAGTCAAATCATTTTACTAAGATAAGACCTTGTTGGACACTTGACCTTGCATCCTAACCAAAAACACATTTTTTTTTATTAATCTGGGAAAAATGGTGAAGAGGCAGCTGGTTTTAAATTCCTTACAAGAAAACAGCTTGAAATCAATAGAGCTTTCTTATCAGTGGTTAAGTGTAGCTAGTGGTGGACAATTGTGAAGTCTACTGTTTATTTTCAACACAGCATGAATTTCATATGCGAGCACAAGTTGAACCAAAGTTGCACAATGTTAACTTTGACTTCATACAAGAGAACAGAAATTGTCTTCAGAAACGGATTATTGCGTTAATTCAGGCAAGCCACAAAACCCACCTCAGCACACAGTCAGTGCTGTGTACAGCTGCCCACACTGGAAGTGAATCGCTCATTATGCATTGCTTTGAAGCTGACAGCTGGTTGATTTCTGACATTTTGGGCTTTGGTTAGGAAGGTGACACTCTGACATACTTACTACCGGGTCATATGTCAATTATACTTTTTATTTTATACTTTTACTACGTTTACTATGGTTTTTATGTTACTGCACTGCTTCTTGTTTTATTGCTGCTGGCCTCTGTGAGCTACCAAACAAATTTTGTTGTATAACTACAATTAGGGCTGTTCGATATTACGATATATATCGGATGACGATATAAAAACGTCTATCGTTTCATTTTATGCTATCGTTTGTTTCGTGGTGTTGCAAAATAAACTTTTTCATCGTTTTGATGGTCACTGTAGTGGCTATATTAATTTCTTAAAGTTCTCTTTTACACTTATATTTTACATAACCACACTATGGATGGACAAGCGCCTGTTTTATGTGCTGTGGTTAGCAACAACGACGGTAACAGCATCGCGTGTCCGCTTGTTTATGTTCCACATAAACCTTTCACAATAAAGCTCAAGATCCTGTTGAGACTTTTCAAAATAAACTGAATCACGTGAAAGAGCGGATTATTTACGGGTGAGAAGTAAAAAAGAGCCGCCAGGTGCTAAAAAATAAACCTTAGACTCAAACGTTAGAACAGGCTTTTATAGAACAGGCCATGTAATAAATACTCACAAAGAAAACGGCGGCCGTTACAACTTATGTCTAAAAATGTATCGTTTCATGCATCGGTTAAAACACTCGACTCCAGCTACATGACGCGCAGCTGGAAACACTTCCCGCAAGACGAGTTGCCCGAGATTCACAGAATTTACAGAAAATGTTACATTTTTGTGATTTATATCATTATCGATAGAATTCTTATTTCGGGATATGAGATTTTGGTCATATCGCACAGCCCTAACTACAATGACAATAAAGTTCCTTATCTTATCTTATAATTAAAGGTATTCTTTACTCCCACTGGTAATCCCTTCAGTTGCTTGTCAATTTATCATAGATCCTAACCACATCTGGCTGCCAGCGGGTATTTTACTCATGGTTGGCTCTCTTCCACAGTGTGTTTTTTATCCTGTCTTCCTCACATTCAGCTGATCACAGGAGATGGCTGCTCCTCCCTGAGCCTGGTGCTACTGAGGGAGGAGCAGCCATCCTCCCTACTGGTAGTTCTTCCTTTCAACTGTCACCAAGTGCTTGCTTAAAAGTGGTTGTTTAATTTTGGGGATTTCTCTCTATTATTGTAGGGTCTTTACTGTACAATATGTTGTTAACTGAATTGAATTAAAGTTCATTCACTTGATCTGGTTTCCAGTTGCCACATTTCTGCAAATCACTTTCAGTTTGTATATAGCTTAATGGGTGATTTTCACATTGGGGACGATATTTAGGTGTCCTTAGTCCGCCTGCAGTTGCTGTTTTAAGGTTCAAGCCGCATTGTAACCTACCCTTCCATTGCTGTTCCTCTTTTCTTTTGTCTGAATCTATTTTTTTTCTACTCTGGGG